ACCTTTTAGAAAACTTCCATTTCTACAGATATTCAGGGTTTTAAATCCTTTTATGTAAATAGCTAAGGAATCTGTCTTATACTATCTTATACTATCCTCCTATGAGAATGTAAGACAATCCACCTTTTTTTAAAAAAGACTATGCAGAGAATAGAGTTATCTATTGATTACAGTGCTCACATGATTTTAGCACAAAGTGATCAAAATTTCCCACTACCAGTTAGCAAAACCCAAAAAGTATATAACTAGATTAAAATTCTGCTGCTTGCACAAGTCCCAGAGACACATCTGCACAAAGATAAAACTGAAGATCTGCTTTCCTTCTTAAGGTCTGCTTAAGAACCTTGTTTCACTATGCATTGTACCTAATTTTTTTAAAAAAAAGCAGAGAATAGTTATCTATTGATTACAGTGCTCACATGATTTTAGCACAAAGTGATCAAAATTTCCCACTACCAGTTAGCAAAACCCAAAAAGTATATAACTAGATTAAAATTCTGCTGCTTGCACAAGTCCCAGAGACACATCTGCACAAAGATAAAACTGAAGATCTGCTTTCCTTCTTAAGGTCTGCTTAAGAACCTTGTTTCACTATGCATTGTACCTAATTTTTTTAAAAAAAATTGATCAGCCAAATTTAAGCCTTTTTCATTTAATGTTCAGATCAGTACTAAAATGAACTACTACTGTCTAGGTTCTTTGTCAGGACAGATTTTCTTTCAATGCCTATGATAGGGGGAGCTTAGTTGTCTAAGAATCAGCTTTAAAATACCTAGACTCCCTAGGACTATTGGTTATATTCTCAAGAGGGCTGAGGAACTGCTTAATTATTCAGAAATAGGTAGAAAGGCAGGCTATCTCCTACTCAAGTGTTTTTCTACACAGTCTTAAAAACCAAAACAGGGCTGGGGATTTAGCTCAGCAGTTCGGTGACCTGCCTTGCAAGCACAAGGACCCGAGTTCAATCGCCGGAACCCCCCCCCAAAAAAAAACCCAAAATATTCCTCAAGTTGTAATGAATTTAAGAAACTTCTTCCTTTATTTTTTTTCCTTGAAGAAATGCTGGTTTGCTACATCATCTCAGAAATCCAAAAATATGTTCCATCCTTTTCTTATACTCTGAACTTTCTTAGTATATTGTGTTTTAATTGATTTATATGGATTTTAACAATATTTATTTGCTTAGTATTCATTTGTCACTGAACTAGTCCATTATGTGGACCAAGTGGCAGGACCCTGGAAGCCCTGTGTGGTGAGAGAGGGACCTGCTTAGTCTTTCCATGATACATTGCACTGATGAGATCTTCCTATTCTCACAGTTTTATTTAATATTATATTAATCCACAGCATTTCTTCAACATCTTTTGATGCTAGTGGTGGTGGTAATGATGATATTTTGCTCTGAGAGGAAGCTCTCTTTCATTCGTTGCATTTCAGAAGTTTAAATGCAACTGTAGAATAAGAAGATTTTCACCACAAGCTTTTTGAAAGGTTTACGAGCCCTTTAATATGATGAACTTGAAATTTCAGTGCACTGAGCTGTTTGCATGCCAAGTTCACATAGTGCCTAACCATATAAACTCACCACATACGCACACTTATGAGGAAAAGAACCATCAAGACTGTCTAAATAAACAAGTCGAAAGGCTTTGCTATTTGTTTAATAGGTCAGTCGTTATAAAAGATAGATCTCCAAGTGAGGCAGGGCAGCCAGACTGTATGGGCTTAATTCCTGTCCCTTGGGGTTCACTTTTCATCAGTGACCTAGGAGTGTGTGTGCTGGGCCCCACTGAGCAAGCCCTGAGCTTCCCTCGGCAGTGTTGGCCCTGGGAAGTCCTGAGAGGAAGGTGAATCTGGAGGTGGAGTCTAGGTCAGGAAATGCAGCTTCTCCTAAATTAGCTCTGGATTTGTCTTCTTTTCTTTCCTTTTCTTCCCCCTTTTAAAGAAGAGAATGGTTTTCCTATCTAAATCCCCTATGCCTTAGTTTCCCTGTGAAAAAATGAAAGCAAAAGGGCCTTGGCCCTCCTAATCACAAAGGGCAGGTGTTGAAAATACAAAAGATTTTAGCCTCTATATAAGTAATGTATGCACAAAATATTACTTATTTATTAAGGTGCATGAACACCTACAGCTAGCCACATGAATGATTAACATGCACAGGTCAGTATTATTCAGTCCTTATAAAAATGGGATGGTCAGCTGTGTTTCTTCCATCAAGAACTCTGAGGAGATGGTTTCTAGATATCCACACTTAGTTCTAAGCTAGGAGAGCCCTCAAGGAAAGTAAGAGCCTTGACGTTTGTTTGGTGTCCAAAAAACTTTCCTGTCAGCAGTTTGTTTCCTTTTCTTTTTTATGAATGGCAGTAGTATTATGCTTCAGTCTGCGTTTTCGACCAAAGCCATTCATAAAAATAAAAACAAAACAAAATAACAACAACAGAAAACTTTCTTGACACAGTCTGGAGCCATTGGATGCCAGAGGCTGGGAAAACATCCCGGCAGCCTTAACCACAACCAGCATTGAAAGTATTCAAGGGTCTGTTTGTTTGGTGGTCTGAGAAGTATGAAGTGCTGTGTCTACGAGTAGCTGGTAGAAGTTCTCTGCCACGGACTAGGCCTAGAGCCAGGGCTGGCAGAGTTTCAGACATTGTCTTTACCCTCATTGAAGTGTCAGGACCTAATTCATGGAAAATTGGACGAGCTGGCAGGCCTTTCAGAGGGTTTCACTGAGTGGCGCTGCGTAGGAGTCACGCGAATTTGAGCTCCTCAGCCAAAAAAGGAGGGGAGCTTCTGAGTTGTAGAAACCAGTCAGAGTGCAGGAATGTGTGTGGATTTAAAACAGTTTGGAAGTAAACATGTGTACAGGTATAATCAGCAGGACAAAAGAAGAGAAAACAGAGTCGTCTGTTCTTACAAATGACTCTTTTGAAATACATACTCTCTCAGGATACACTCTTGAGTCCTAGGGGGCAAGAAGTCCTAGTCAACCTTGGTTTGATCTCAGAAAACATCACCTTATAGTGATGTCATCTGTACTGTAATTTAAAGTCACAGGGAGAACTGATTTTTTAGTGAGCAGAAAAATATCTTGTCATTTGTTTTATTTTTATCTGTCCATCCTAAATATTTTTTCTAATAGTAAAAAAATATTTTATTGAAGGTAGGAAAAGAAACAGGCTCTGCAGAGCAAGTTTGGGCCAAGTAAAAGTAGGAAAAGACAAAATTCTGATAATTTTTGTACAGTGCTTTTAATATGCCAGCACGAAATCACACCACCACAGAAATGCTGAGAGGAAGGAAAATGAATTGGTTCTTATAAAATAGTGAATTTACCCTAATTTCTGTTACTTAGAGGACTGTATCAATTTTGTTTCTTTAATTTGTGCTATGAAAGTACGTCACTGTCAAGTTCAGTTGTATTTACAAGTCTCAGTGATGTATAGAGAGAATAAGTAAAGTTTATATTCAGGCATGAGAGTGTGAACTGGAAATAATACATCATGAAACCAGGGCTTCAAATCCATATTTTATAATACCAAACAATAACAAATGTTTTCTACTATTGTAGTTGAAAATTAATTTAGGCTGTAAGAAAAACTTCCTTTGGATATTTCACTCAAAAGAGTAGAGTTTTGGTCTATATATCCAAAGATAGATGGATAGATAGATAGATAGATAAAACAAAATATTCTTCAAATGATACCACCAAGAAAGTAAGGGAATTCACAGAATGGGAGAAGATATTTGCAAAGCATATATCTGGTAAAGGATTCTGTTCAAGCATAAAAAAAGCTTTTATGACTCCATATTTAAAAGATGAATAATTCATTTTGTAAGGTCAACAAAGGATTTGAATAAACATTTCTCCACAAAAGATATACGAATGGCTGTCATGAAAATCACTCAGTGGCACTGGTTGTGAGGGAAACTCAAACCTAAACACTAACATTTGACTTCGCACCCAGTTGGGTGTCTGTGACAAAGAAGACATACTATAACAAGCACTGGCACAAATGAAGAGAAATTGAACTATCGTACATTGCTGGTGGGACTGTAAAACAGCATAGCTGCTTTGAAAAACCATTTGGGAACTACTCAAAAATTGAGGAAAAAAGAATTGACATAAAACCCAGAAATTCTACTCCTTAGTTATCCAAGAGAAATGAAACATGTCCACAATAAAACTTACATATGAATACTTACAGTGGTATTATTCATAAAAGCCAAATGTTAGAAATAAACCAAGTATCTATCAGCTGATGAATGGATGCTTAAAGTATGGTACATCTATGCAATGGGATACTATTTGGCATAAAGGAGGAATGGACTACTGATGCATAAGTGACCCTAAAAAATCATGCCAGTGAAAGAAACTAGAAACAAAAGATAACATTTTGTATAATTCTTCTTACCTAAAGTGTCTAAACTGAGCAAATTTATAGAGCCAGAAAGTAGACGAATGGTCAGTTAGGCATGGAAGAGTGTCGGGAAGATGGAAAAGAATGAAGAATGATACGAATTGACACAAGGTTTCTCTATGGGGAGATGAAAATGTTCTAAAATTAAATTGTGGTGATGACTGAACAACTCTGTGAATCCACAAAAAACTTTGATATTCTTTAAGTGAGTTAATTATATAGTACATAGATTTTTATCTCAATAAAATTTCTTTAAAAAAAGAAATTAGACATTTTCTCAAAGTTTGTTTTATGTAGACTTTTACAACGTGGTTGAATAGTAAGCTTATTTTGATGTAGTTGGTATATATACCTGGGCACTGTTTTAATTGAGATAGCCTCCATTGTATTTTATTAACAATGATTATGATGAAACTTTTAACATAGATAAACCATTTGAACTTCAAATTTTCTTCTTTGCTTTTAAAATCATTTACATTTTAAAATCATTTACATTTAAAATAATTATACTTAATGCTTTTCGTTGTACGTATTTCCCGTTAAAAATATAACATTTCTTTTTTGTTGTTGTTTCCTCCTTAGCCACAACAAGTCCTTCAGAAGAAGCCTGCTCAGGTAAAAGACAGTCATTATGATTTTTCCTTTCCAATTAGTACAAAAAGTAAAGTAAAATATGTATTTAATAAAGGTTCCCAAATTCGACATTTAATTAGTATTTCCCAGATTTGTATATTCTTAACATGTATTGTATCCTTCAAAGTTTAGAATATGTAGTCTGAAATTGTGTTTTCAAACTCTCAAAAATCTAGATCTCCTATGAAAAGCAAATATAAATACTTCTTAATGAAAATTTTTATTTCAGTGACTCACATGTAAATATTTAGTTTTATCATGTGTTTAATCAATTCCTAAACATCAAAGTCTGTACTTTACATTTGACTGTCTATTTTTCTTTGACTTATACAGGAGTTATTAATTGCAAATTATTTCTTGATTTGTGACCAGAAACATCTGCTCATTGAATTAGTCTATATTATAGACCCTGTAATATTTGCTGATCCTAAAACACTCCCAACAACGTTGGAAAATTAAGACATTAAATTATACTAATTCTATAGATTAATGAACTCTTGGGCCTTGCTTAAATGGCTAAATCATAGTCACTGAAATTTTTGGCAATATTAAAATTAGAAACCAGCTTTGCTTTCTTTGTCCCATATTCCTGGAGTTCCTTGTCCTAACTTTAGTCTATGCCTAGAAGCAAAAGACATATTTATTGAGGAAATGTATCTTGGAAAAAAACAAAACTGAAGAGTATATTAATAATGATTGCCAAGAATATGAATTATTAAAGTGTAAGAATGTCCTGCTGTTCTCTTTCCTTCTGGATTTAAATAGATGTCTTAAGCAGCTCTAGGCACTATTATGTAGAGCCTACTAAAGTAAATTATTAAGCAATGTCATGAGTTATCAAGTTCCTTGTAGATTTCTGTCACATAATTTAAAATATTCGTAGAATCTTTTCCCCTAGAGATCTTTAAAAATGTACCTTGCATCCTATTCTCTTAGAATAGTGTTGTGTTGTCTGGAAAAGACCATCTAGGCAATCTTATTTATCTCCTATTTTTTAAAGATGCTGCTTGGAAGAAAATTGAAGCTTTTAAACACATGTAAGGATCTAGGGGAAATGAATTCAAATAATTATATATGTACTTTAGGGTTTGGGGTTTTTTGTTTTTTTGTTTTTCTTGAGACAGGGTCTTGCTATGTAGTTTCAGCTGAACTTGAACTCTGTGTAGCCCAGCCTGGCCTCGAACTCACCATGATCCTCCTGCCTTATTCTCCAGAGTGCTGCGGTTACAGGCATTTGCCACCATATTGTACATGTACTTTAACTGGAATAAAAACAGGGTTACTATGCAAAATAAAAATCATTCTCACTACTGCTCCAAAACCTAGAAGCCAAGAGTGAGACGGAGGTTGGAACTAAAAATATTCAGTGTTTGAGTATTTGCAAGCAATATTTTTAAAAAAGCAAAAAATTGATATTTGTAGTCGGATATCTCAAATATAGTGATATTTCTGTCCATGAACTTAGTTCTTTCCATGTTTCTGGTCGAAAAATGAATTAGACAAGAACTGAATCAAATTTTAACAGAAGATCAATATTCAACCTGACCAATGAATTTGACTCGGTTCTCATCCAATTTGGTTTGCGGCCACAATTGTGGAAAGAATTGAGTTTGTAAAATGAGGTACCACTGTATATTTAGGCTGTCGTCCGTCATAAGTAAGAAAATCAAGAGACAGTGAACTGACAGTTCTGAGCATTTGAATCAAAGGTAATCTGCTGCAGCATTTTCACTGTTGCTCCACGGGCTATGAACTACACTAATAATTTCCTGTGGTTTGTGAGCAACATTGATTTAGTCTCTATTCTAGGTATTGTAGGGAAGGTGAGTTGAGCAAAAAAGTCATGTATCAGAGAAATATGCAATCTAATTTAGAGTGTCTTATACTGGCTGCATATTAAAATTGCCTAGGAATTATGTATACACATATATAAAATTCCTGGGTCCTCCTCAATGGTGTGCTGGAGCCTACCCTTGTGGAGCCAATTGTGAGCATCTCTTCCAAATTCTGTGGTCAGTGATGTAAATTATGAGTCTTAAAATCCACTCTACTGAGAGTATTTATACCACTGAAATTAACAAATGTTGCTAATCTGGATTTTATTTCCCTAGAGAATATGTACCACAAGCACTACCCTTCATAAATTCTGTTTATTTGCTCTGGAGACCCAACCATTAGTGTTTTCTAAGAGCTCTCTACATGCTCCTAATGTGCAACCAGGGATAAAATATACAGTATTCAGTGAAAACACATGAAGAGATGTTTGAACATTTGTTGAGCAAATGACCACAGAATGTCAGATAGATATGGGCCACAGAGGAGATAGAGATGAATGAGTAGAATGTCATAGGTTATTGAGGGGATGGTTTTCTGAAGAGTGTAATTTTATTATTTTGTTTGATTTTGTTGTTTAGCTGTAGAAGGGAAAAATGGAATTATAAAGAAAAAAATGCTACACATGAAATGAACAGCATATGCAAAGATAGAGAAGCAGGAACAGATACATCCCAGGGAGAGATTATTGATTTGTCTGGAACTGATTGCAAATTAGGTTTTAATACACCAAGATGTAATATAAAAGAAATCACAATTTTTTTCCCAAGAGAATTAGGAATCTCAAAGGAAGCACAAATGTATTAGGTAGACCCTCACTAATCAGTCTGGCTGTTTTACAAACCCTGCTTCAAATTTGTCCTTTAAAGGAGAGGAGCTGAGACTTAGAATTTTCAAAAAAAGAACATGAGCTCATTGGACTGCCTAATTTATATTGTCTAAGGACACAGTGCTAAATTATATAAACATGGGAAATACATGGAAGTTCATGAAGGATAATGTAAATTTTATACTACATTCAAAAGAATCTCTTCCTTTTCCATCTGCTTTTTTCAAAATACCCTCCCAGATGGCTTTTCCATGTGGCAATCTGGATTAAGTCAGGCTTATATCCTTCTTCATCAAAAGCACTTTGAGGGGTTACTTTCTGATTCTGTTTTGCGGTGATGAGGATTTTAGCAAACTTAAATATTTTACATGTAAAGAAAAGATCTCAACAGTGTATAAACAGACATAGGGGTTATTATTATTATTATTATTATTATTATGGCCCCATCACTGGGTTAATTAATCTGTTTTAGCCCTAATTACACAGCTAGGGAATGGATAAAAACAATGCCTCTTCCATAATTTGCAAGAACATTATGAGAAATTAATAATTATATAAATTTCATGATCAGTTTTATGTTGTGATTTATTTGAAGTGACTAAATTTTTCATCTCCCAAGATTGAGTCTCAAGCATTTTAAAATTCTGATTATTTCAAAATGTCTGCCTTTTTTACCTTGGGTTTTTATTACATGTTTTTAAAATTAGAATTTTTTAATAAATTGGGATGTTGTATAATAATTACTAAATCCTACTGTTAGGACTAGCACAGAGTCGCCTTCCTTATATGTATGTCATGTGAATATGGAATTACAAAGACTCTATAGTTTCTGAAACCTCACAGATTTAAGAATGCCACTTTTTTGTAAATAGGGGAGGATAGAGGGGGTGAAAGGAGGACAGAGGTATGGGGAAAAAATGAGAATCAAGATCTATCATGTAAAGGTACAAGATCCCAATGATGAATGTAACTGTACTATATACCTAAAAAGGACCAATAAATTCAATAAGATTTAATAAAAAAAGAATGCCACTTTTTAAAACTGGTATTCAAAGTAGGAAAGTTCTGTCTGAGGAGACAAATTCAGAATTATGATAAATCTCAACATCTATATACATATTTGTGTCTGTGTATATGCATACATGTGTCTAGAGAGGAATAAACATTCAAGAGAAGCACTACTGTAGGAATTTGTGTTTGGAAAATGTAAACTTCAAATGAGCCCTATAATCCTAATGGGAAAAGGAAATCATCCTTTAAATGTCTAAAGAGGAAAATCCACAAAATTCAAATTCACTTTTTCAAAATTCAAAAATCAGTGAAAAAATGAACTCTACAATATTTTCTTTAAAGTGATAATAAATCGAAGTTAAGTGGAAATTATATAAATAAATAGAAATTAGCTAGTTCTTTCACAATTTTCTAACTTCTCAACCATATGGTTTCTATTGCAAAGTTTAGGAGGAATTAGGGGTAGGTTTTTCTATTTAAAAAAAATAAAAGAAATACCTTTTAAAGTGTCACATTATTATTATTGATAGAGGGAATTCTGCTTCTCAAGTTTTTATTTTTATAAAAATAAATCTCTATCTAGAACTTCTAAAAAGGTTTTGCTAGCTTATCGCATGACTTGTTTCTTGATGTTCCATTTTAAGGCTTTAAACTAAGATATATAATTCAGACACTTTTACTTACCACAGCTTTACCCAAAGGGAAAACAAGTTTTTAAAATCCCAACTGTTCTTCATGGTTTCTGTCTACTTTTCTCATTGCTGTATACAGCACTGGCAAGCTATACTTCTCGCAATCAAGGCAGGTATAAACCTGTTGTTTTCAATTCCCCAGTGAGAGAAATGGAAATTTTTCAGTTTAAAAAAAAAAAGCTGGAATCAAAGCTTTCTGTTTCAAAGTGCAGATTTTACCTGTGACATCTTCTGTGGGTGGTACCAAGGCAAAGAAATCTCAGTAAGCCTCAGTTATCTTGGGATTCCACCCCACTTTTTTAAAAATGTTGAATGTTTTTACAGAGACTTCAAGGGCAGTTTTAGGATGTTTATATTTCAGACAACCTAAACATTGTTTGGAGCAAAATGAGAGATTTCATTTTGGGACAAGCAAGTTGATGAATTGCAGTCAGCATCTTGTTCTCAAAGAAAGCATTTTTACTGGGGGCTTTTAGTCTAGACACACAAAGGAGGATGGAAGGAGAGAGGAGAGAGCATTCTCATTCTAACACTCTTATTTTACATAGTACCTTGGCCAGTGCAGTAAATAGTTCATAATAAATCAGATCTGCAAACAGTTACTCATCTGCTCACTC